CTTTGGCTATCCACAACCGTTAGGGAACCGTTGAAATGGCGACGACAACTCCTTTCTGCGAGTTCCTAAATGGGAAAAAACAAAACTGAAGTTTCAAAACTTTTATCTCATTATAGCTTCTCGCAAAAGTTTATACAAAACTGTGAACACATGATTCGCAACACATTTCTGAAATGGTTTACTTTGAAATGAAAATAAATGGTGAACGTTGCTCAAAAACAGGCTTAATAATTTTGACTAGCATAGTGAAAGAATTGGCATGTTCCACAAACTGAAATAAATTATAACGATAAATATTCATGAGTGTATTTCTCTATAAGGATGAAGCGAATAGAGGCATTTGAGCCCTTAACTTGTTATTTGATATTGAACAGAGTCTGCTAAAGTTGTTTTCAACTTTTCTGTACATATGCTTATTATCATAAGAAGTGCAACCGTAATATGGCAAAATTTAAAAGGGAACTTTGCAATGTTGTACAACAATTTCCCAATAGAAGAAAGCTCGTATTTTTCAAGATAAAGACATTTTTCTCTCAAATTCGAGAAATTATCGAACAAACACTCCAATATGCTTAAGAGCCGTAGACAGTTGTCGAGTAACAAGAACTTGTAAGTATCTGCAGTTAAAGTGTAGTAAATGATAAGAGGAGACTTGGGAAAGAACAGTGGCAGTGATCGTCGACGCCAAAAGTTGGAATCAGAAGCGCTGCCTGCCAAATTTGCCAACTTCATTGCCAAAATGATACACTCCGACGCGATCAACAACATCCACTCTGACATCCTTCATCTGTGTCCTACTGTCGTTGTATTATATCAAGGAAACCTAAGTTAATTTTAGTTCTCCTTTCCAAATACCCTCACGTCGTCGAAGGATATTGATACTCCATACTGAGTGATCTGAACCTTTTGACTTTTGGAATTTTTCTGTCTTACAACGCCCCGGCCAGGCTCTTTATGCCTTGTAATCCCGCACCTGTCGAATTGCGAGGATTAAAGTGAATGAAAGTTAGCAAGACAGTTAATTTGTCAGAAAACGCTGCTGAAACATGCCGTTTGCTTCTGTCTGCGGCTTAAATTTTTGAAAGAGTTAATTTGGAGACTTGGAAGAAGACTAGATAAAAACATCGTTCGACAAAAGGAATTTTGAATAGAATGCAAGACGGTTGGACACAAACATAATGACTAGTTACTGAAGCAAGCGAAAGACGAGATAAGATTTTACATAACTTTTCCATCTTAGAAAACGTCTAACACCATTAGTAGTAGATCTGAGATCAATAGCTCTGAAAAATGAGCATTTACATAGACTGTTTCTAATTTGTAAGCTTAAGAAATTGCAGCCAGGATTTTACTATCTCAGTATCAGCGTAAGACTATAGATAAACAAAGCCTCAACGAGAGCTCCATGCGGAGATGATATAGAAGGTAGGTAAGGAGTCGGGAATTATACTAACTTCCCTTCTGATGATATTGTATTAGAGGATCAGAAATCTTTAAGACCTACTTTCAAATTTTCTTATCTGGTAGAAATAATTATCTTTTATCAATATGTAACACTGAAAGTCATCTGTCACCTGCCTTTCATTGCCTGTCTCCCTTTAATCAGTGATCCTTGACCATGGAATATCTTGGCAATAATCCCTTTTTTAAAAACTAGAGGCCATCTTAAGCAGGCTGCTTAAGAATATTCTTTTCTATGGTAGTAAAATTTCTAGGAGGATCCTTTGAAAACGGTTCTTCACCTACGCCCGTGTTCCCTTTGCCACTTTATCTCTCCCACTGCATGTTTTGAAACAAAAATTGGAAATTTTGTCAATCCACTTTTAGAACTTTTTGGACTCCTCGATACTTATAGCACCGGAAATTAGACAAGGGAGGCTGCCGGATGTTTTAAGACAATTTTTTTGAACAATGAATGAGGTTTTAGTGCTCTTAAACAACAAATAAGGAAGCTACCTGTTCTGATTTGTAAGCTGAATTGCAAAATAAACGCTATTGAATGGTTTTAAACAAAGTAGGAGAAAGCGAGTAGCGCGTTATTAGAGCGATTGAGACTATTTGGGAGAAAACACTTTATTTAGCTGTCTTACATCAATAACTAAGCTTCTAAAATACGAGCTTTACGCAAGCATATTAATGCGTAAACGGCCACGCCGAAGGTGTCTTGGCGCTGATAGTGCCAAGAATATCCCGTGCGCGAGTAAGAAGCAAATAATTAGTTTCATTTTATACTAGTGATCAACGATTGAGGATTCCGCTATTAGACTTAGTAAAATAAGATGAGCGAGGCACGGAAGCATTCGACAACAGCTGGATGCAAAAAGAACCGTGAGCGATCGTATTTTAAACGTGAGTGGAAGATCACCAGTTCTGTTGTCAAACTACCCCATCAACAAAGTATATGGCTGTGGTAAATGACCACATTTGTAAATTTGTCTCGAAGCTTTGAATTGCAAATTTGACTCCCTCTCTCTATTGCCGATTTTCTCATTGAATGGAATGTAAACTCGAGTCTCAAGTATTAAAGTGAAACTTTCTCATTTATCCAAAAAAGTGTTTGAAGAGGTTTGCCGTTTGCTAGATAGGTCGTGCGGGTGTGGACTATGTAGTTTGTAAATTGCTTGAAAAGTTCTCTACCAGTAAAGCTGTTTGATTGCGATTATACAGTCTCTCTAACTGCGAGTTTGCATAGGACTTCTGAATAATTACTTTATTCCTCGCAGCCTCCCTACGGATGGCAACTCAAAAAAATAAGCATGGCTTTCTTTGGTAACTTCTAAGGGAATTCCGAGAACTTCCTGTATGCAGTACATTAAGCGTATCTCTACAGAGAAGACAATAGCTAGCGACCCTAAGGGTCTCTAAGAAGTTGACCGGGCAGCCGATGCTACATGACTAAGTACTGAAATTTTAGTCCAAGGATTCTTAATCTCCTACTATACGGATATCGAAATATGATGACCTTGAGCTGTAGGAGGAACGCGCTCTTCAGCTCCCTCGTCCCTCTTCTATCAAACACATTACAAAATTAGTGACGATTCGCAGAGGTACTTGTTGGCTGCTTGGTGTTGGTGCTACTATTGCATTACAGTAAGGTGGTGGACCACAATGCCTAGAGCCTATCTAAAGATCTTCAGCTCTACCCAATCAAGAAATCACGTTTATAGAAATCCTGTCGTTGATTTGCTTAAGTAGGAGAGTAATTGTCATATTTCTTTAACTCATATACCTGAATCGATGGGAGTGTTGACATTTTGTAGCATCCTCCATATGGAGTATCACCCTTTAACTTGAACGGTTTATAGTTTGCGGGGCAGAAACAGTTGGCTACAAAACAATTTAGCTCTATCGTTCGGAAATAAATTTTGCTTATAGTTGGTATGTTACCTCTGCAGAAGAGTCGATGGAGGTCCCAAACCTGGAGTTTGCCATAACGATTCGAAAGCGCATAACCGGGACTGGCAAGAGTTTCTAGTAAAGGAACGGGAGCACCGTGAACTTGCACAAATTCTGAATGCCACTCTTGATTGACATATGAGACGTTACAGAATTTTTTTTAACAATGACTCTTATTCAGAATATAGTTTGCGTTATTGCTTGCATGTCTAACAATCATTCATCCATAGAATATAATCCCTTCGTTTTAGCTAGCAGTAACTCATAGTAATTTCAAGCAATTGACAGCTTGTAGCAGAGAGCATTAACTTACCAATGGTGATAATGATTCCTCCATCTTCTTTGAATGTATTTGCAGCTACGATGGGATCATTATATCGGCCACTTCTAAAAAAGTACAGATATGACTACATGCAATTAGCAAAGCGGCTCTTTTCTCAGGATTTTTTCAGACTTAGGAACGAAAATAAATCTGTAACAGTACTCACTCAAACGCAGAAGCGATAATGACAATGACCCTTCTAGCATTTGGTCGATGATGAGGAGGATTAAAGTTTAGAGTGGCTAAGCGAATAGCACTAAAAAAATAAGCTTATGTAAAATGTTTGAATCTTATAGGGCGACTTCGTGCTTAACTTTATTTTATCTCAGTAGTTCAGGTTACGCAGATTTTGATAATGCCTCTTACCCTACTTAGCGCTTGCACAATCTGAGCGAATAAAATGCTGATCATCTGCATATTAGCTACGATCATCTAATTAATGAGATGGTGTCTTCTCTCATGATCATAATTTCCATGTGATCCGTGAAATAATTAAACTGTCACCATTTTTCAAGATTGTACATACCGCTCGTAGCTTTTGCAAGAAAAACCTGCAACGAATGGGACTCACGATAGATCGTCATTCGTTCAGGTTCACTGTAGGAGGTCTAGAACACGAACCTGCCTGAATTCGCCAAGAGGGATCACTTGATACGATGCACGTTCAGTTGGTTAAATAGTTACGGTAGCACCCCGAAGATACAGATAAACGGTAGGAGATCAATA